CCCCCCATGTCCTTGAGCCCCCCCGTCACCTCCCATGATTCAATGCCACGCTCATGTTCACCCCCTCAGTGTCTCCATGCCCCCCCCCTCCCTGCCCCCTCTCTGTGCCCCTCCAGTGTCCCCATGCCCCCCTGTCCCCCCTCCAGGTGCGGGAGATCTGCCTGCTCTTCACGCGGGGCGTGGACTACAAGTGGCAGGCTATGGCCCTATTGGCCCTACAGGAGGTGGGGGGCCTTATGGGTTTATTTTTGGGGGGGGGAGGGCGGGAGGATTTGTTTTGGAGGGTCTCATGGTTTGGGGTTGGGGGTGTCTGAGGGATACCTTGGGTGGAGCTGGGGGGCTTTGTAGTGCCCAAAAGGTCTTGTTGGGGGGGAAGGGAAAGTGGATTTGGACCCCTTGTGTCTGGGGGTCTCTTTGGGCTTGAGGAGGGGTCTTTGGCTGCGAGGTGTTTTGGGATTGGGGATTGTTTTGGGGGGGGGGGATTGGAGGTTTTTGAGCTGTGGAGTTATTTGAGGTCGTGGTTTTAGGGAGGGAGGTTGGGGGTAGGGGTTGTTTTTGGGGTGTTCCGGGGGTTGTTTTGGAGGACTGGCGTTTGTGGGGTGGCCTGGAGGTGGGAATTGACCCCTCCCTGCTTTGTGGGGTCCCACAGGCAGCAGAGGCGTTCCTGGTGCATCTGCTGGAGGATGCCTACCTGTGCTCGCTGCACGCGCGCCGCGTCACGCTGTACCCCAAGGACCTGCAGCTGGCACGGCGCCTGCGGGGGCTGCAGGGGGAGGGGTTCTGAGCTGCCCCCCCCTCCCGCCCCCAATAAACACCCCCTTCCCCTACTCACACACACAGGCGCACAGAGCGGTGATGGGGTTCTGCTGCTGGGTTGGGGGGACTGTGGTAATGGGGGGGGATTTGGGGAGGTGGTGAGCAGAGGGGTGGGGGGCGCTTGGGAGGATGGATGGGTAGCGGGTGGGGTGGGGGTTTGGGGGATCTTTGCTGGTTGGTGGGCACACAATGGGAGTGTGAGTGATTATTTTTTTGGAAGGGGGCACCCCGTGGTGCTGGGAGCACTTTGTGGGGGGAGAAACTCCTGTATTTTTATCAGGACACTCCCATAAATTTTATCATGATTTGAAGCGGAGTGGGCACACGATAATTTCAGGGGAGTGAACCCAATTCCCTTCTTCTGGTAGGAGGGGTTTGGGTGGGGGGGGAGGGGGGAGGTGGAGCTTTTGGGGTCCCTCCCCCTCATAAGGTGTTATAGGGGCAGAGCCGGGGCCCCCCATCCCACAGAACAATGTCGGTGGTGATGCTTCTGCTGCTGTTCCTCCTGGCCCTGATATGGGGGGGGTCAGCCAGGTGGGGGGGGGGGCCCCGGGGGGGGGGGCCCTGCACCTCCTGCACCCAGGAGGGCCACAGCACCTCCACATCCTCACCCGGACCTACGGGGACCCCTTGTGTCTGCGCTTGGGGAGGCGCGGTGAGTAGGGGGGCACTTTCATGACCCCCCTCATCCCCCTGACTCCCCTTTGGACCCCCATGGCCCCCTTTTCCCCATAAATCCCCCTCCTTTGGACCTTGAACCTTCCCCCTTTAAGATCCCCAACCTCACAGGCTCCCCAGAATTATCCATTGAGAGGGTGGATGGACCCCCAAATGCTGCCCCCCAATTCCTTCCTGGCCCCCTTCACATTTGTCCCCTCCTTCTACCCCCCACAAAATAATTTGGGATCCCTAACCCCTCCCACCCCCCCCCATACTTTATCCGGGTACCTTTCACTTCTCCCCCCGCCCCTGGTTTCAAGGTCCCCATGGAGGTCCCTTCCCTCCAACCCACTCATTTCTTGCCCCCCCCCCCCAGAGGTGGTGGTGCTGAGCTCTGCAGCTGCCATCCGTGAGGCGCTGGCACGGCGCTGGGGGGACTTCGTGGGACGCCCCCACAGTTACCTGGGTATGGGGGAGCTGCAGGGATTGGGGGCTCCCATGAGGGTTTGGGGTGAGTCAGAGGGGGGTCCCTGTGAATCTTCAAGGGTGGTTCTTTGGGTTTTGTAGTTCTGGGGAGGGTCCCAAGAGGGGTCCATGAAGATTTCTATGGGTATCTGAGGGGGTTTGGGGGTTCTGGGGGGTCCTCATAGGTTCTGGAGATTACAAATTGGTGTCTGTGGGGGTTCTGAGGGATCCTCCTGGGTTTTGAGTGGAGGGGAGTCCCCGCAGCTCTCTGTTGGGTATCTGGAGGGGGTACTGGGGGTCCCCATGATCTCTGAAGGGGTCTGGTTGTGTTTTTTGGGGGGAAGAATGTTTCTGACAGTCCCCACAGGTGCTGGACAGGTCTCAGGGTGCCTGGGGGAGTCTGGATGGGTCCCCAAGGATCCCTGCGGCTGTGTGAGGTGTTCTGAGAGGTCCCATGGGTGCTGGGGTGATATGGGTGTCACCCCGCAGCGTCCTTGGTGTCACGGGGGGGGCAGGACCTGGCGCTGGGAGACGCATCCCCAGAGTGGCGGTGGCAGCGGGGGGCAACGCGGGGAGCACTGGCGCGGGCTGTGAGACACCTGGAGCCTCTCCTGGAGCTGCAGGGCTGGGCGCTGTGCCAGGTGAGCACCCCAACACGGGGCCCTACAACCCCTGGTGGACCCCATCAGCTCCAGGGCTGAGCTGCCCGTCCCCTTGACTCACCCCGACCCCCCCCTGTGCGGCACCCGCACCCCCTCAGTGACCCCATTTCCCTCCCCACAGGAGCTGAGCTCTTACGGGGCTGCCCCAGTGGACCTCTTTGAGGCATTCGCGTTCCACACCTGCAGCACCATCTGCCGCCTCGCCTTCGGGGACCTGGTGGGGACACTGGGGGGGATGCGGGGTCTAGGTGTCACCTTGGGGAGCAGGGGGACTCAGGTGCCGCTACAGGGGGTCTCAGATGTCAGGTGCCACTGGAGGGGACCAAGGGGTCTTGGGGTGACCCAGGTGTCCAAGGAGGGTGGATCCGAAATGCTCGGGGGCCACTTGGGGTCTCAGATATCCAGGCATCCCTTTGGGGACCCAGCCACCTCTAGAGGGACCCAAATGACCACATACCTCTTTAGGTTCAGAAATCTCTGGGGGGACCCAGGAGTCACTCTGGGTGACCCCAGGCCCTATGCCCCACAGATGCCCCCCGAGGCAGAGGTGCGCTCCTTTACACGCTGTGTGGTGGAACTGCTGGACGTGTGGGGCTGGGCCAGTGTGCGGGCACTGGATGTGCTGCCTCCACTAAGGGTGAGGCCTACGGGGCCCTATAGGGCTTATGGGATCAGCATGGGGCTGGGAAGGGGGATAGGTCCATGTGGGGTCTATAGTGAGAATGGGCTATATTGTCCTTGGGGGGTTACAGATGTGGCTGGAAGGTCTGTAGGGGCTGAGGGGGGTTAAAGGGGTTATACAGAGCCCTGGGAGGGTATTGTGGGGTTTCTGCGGGGCTGGGGGGATTCTCAACGGCTGTCTTAGGTTTGAAAGGGTCTATAGAGAGATATGGGGCTGGGATGGAGTATGGGGTCCCTATGGGCCCAGAGAAGCTCTGTAGGGCACTGAGGGGGGTCCCTGTGCCCCACAGGTGCTGCCCAACCCAGGGCTGCGGGAGCTGCTGCGCCTGGTGGAGCGCCGCGACGCCTTCGTGGAGACCCAGATCCGATGTCACCAGGTGGGGATGTGGGGACATGGGGACAGAGGGGGGACACGGCTGCAGGGGGTAACACATGTGTCCCTACAGGGCTGCACATCTCCCCCTAGGGACACAGTGCTGGGGGCACTGCTGGGGGGTGACCCCACTGTCCCCATGGGGCCGCTGGGGGGGGACCGCCTGCACATGGCCCTTGTGGACCTCTTCATCGGTGGCACCGAAACGACAGCGGCAGCTCTGCTGTGGGCTGTGGCCTTCCTGCTGCACCACCCCCAGGTGACACCACGCCACATCTGTGTCACAGCCACATCTGCTTCCCCATAGTTCCCACGCCAGTCTCCCATCCCCACGTAGCCCCAGGGTGTCCCCACGTGTGTGCTGGGTGTCCCCTCCCGTACCCTACTGCACTTCCCCATTGCACCACATGCATGTCACAACCATGTCCATATCCTTGTGTGGATAATGGCTCTGGGGTGCTCCCACCTGTGTCCCTGGTGTCCCCTGTATGATGGCCATCACCGAAGTGTCACACTCATGTCACTTCTGTGCCACACCAATGTCTGTGTCCCCGCACAGGGGAAGGCCACCCCACGAGTGACCTGACGTGACACTTGGTGACACGCTCTGACACACGTCCCCTGTCCCAGGTGCAGGACCGAGTGCGTGCAGAGCTGCACCAGGTGCTGGGCCCCACGGGGACCCCAAAGCCAGGGGACATGGGACGACTGCCGCTGCTCCGTGCTACCGTCACCGAGACCCTGCGCCTGCGGCCCCCCGCGCCTCTCGCACTGCCCCACTGCGCCCGGCGCCACTCCAGGTATGGCCAGTAATGCACCAGTATGGACCAGTATAGGGCCATACATCTGCCTGCAGAACCATGCACCACTGTCAGTGTTTTGCACTAGAATGAACAAACACAGACCAATTTTGTAATAGTGTGGACTGCTGCAGCCCATGGCCCTACCAGTAGGTCAGCCCCAGAAGAGCTCATCAGCCCCCATTAAGCCCCAGTATGTTCCAGTTGGCCACTGTAGGGTCTCCCAGTCCATCCGAGCAGCAGTCTGTCCCTTCCCAGCATTGCAGGAATTCCAGTGCCCGCGGGATCCATTGTTATCCCAAACCTCTTCGCTGCACACCATGACCCCAAGATCTGGGACCGTCCTGCTGAGTTCCTGCCCGGTATGTGTGGGTCCACCCCACAGATGTGGGCCCTGAACCCCAGGGTGGGTTCCTCCCTCTACACCCACTCTCTGACCTCTGTTCTGCCCCACAGAGCGGTTCCTGCAACCAGGGGCCCCCTGGCGAGCGCTGCTGCCCTTTGGTTGTGGGGCACGCTCGTGTGTGGGGGAGGCGCTGGCTCGGGCAGAGCTCTTTGTGTTTTTGGGGTTCATCCTACAGCGATTCCGCCTGGAGCCGCCTTCTGATGGGGCTCTGCCCCACTTGGGGGTCACCGCCGGCACCGTGCTGCGCTGCGCCCCGTTCCGTGTGCGCCTCGTGCCCTGCCCGCCCCATAGCTCCTGAGCCCAGTGTGTGGGATGCGTGGGTCAGTGCTGGTTACTCGCAGCTTTATTGACCCCATAAAGGCTTCACTGTGCCCCACAACCTTTCTAGTGCTCTCAGTCACGCTGCGGCCGCAGCTTCATCTCTGTGAAGGGGATGGAGTACTCGAAGCCCTTCCAGGGGTACCAGTTGATGCCCTGCAGAGAGGGAGGGGGGGATTTGGTCACACCCTATAGGCAACTTAGAGCGGTTCTACAGACACATATAGGCCCTACAGGGGGCCCCAAAGTACCCCCTTCCCTGCTCCAGCTTCTACAACTCTTATAGGGTCCCATACTCATATAGGAGAGACATGAGGCTAAAGGCACCTTGCAGGGGGTAGCCCTCCATATTTACCCCACATAACCCCCCGTGGCCCCACAGTGACTCCCTCCCTCCTGTCTCATTGGGTTGTTTTTATGCCCCCATAGACCCGTTTATGATCCCCGCAGACCCCTTCATAGCCCCCATAGCCATACCTGGTGGTCGTAGGGCACCCCATAGCGCCCGTTGAGGTTGGCATAGTGGCAGTTGCGGTACCACCAGGCTCCCGTGTAGGCGACAGCGCAGGGCCGGGGGCGGCCCCGGGGGTCGTGGTCCCGTGTGGAGAAGGGGCTCCCAGCGTGGTAGGACAGTGCATCCCCTGTAGGACCCACAGCAAGGTTACGGGGACCCCTAGAGAGAGCTCTCCAGGACACCCACATAGGGTTCAGAGCCCCAAGGATGAACCACAGACCCCCAGGAAGTCCCCACATCCTCATAGAGACCACCCTGTGGGGCAGAGCCTCCTCCCTCCCCCCCCCCCCGGAACCCTTGTGGGCTCCCTGTGGCCTCGAGATCCCACTGGGTCAATGATCTCAAAGACCCCTGCAAGGCCTCCTCACTGTGGGCAAAGGGACTGTCCCCTATTCTCCCCAGGATTCCCCCCCCGCCCCGTGATCTGGGTATCCCCAAGAGCCCTCCCATGAGTCAAGGTTAACGTTATACCCTCCAGGAACCCTCTAGGACCCCCCCAGCCCCACACGCACCAGCTGTGCCACTGTAAGCCCCGAGATGGAGGCGAAAACTGTCCTCAGGACCACCGACGGCAAAATCCCGATAGCGGGCGAAGGCGCTGTCTGACGGCGTCCGGAGGTCCACGCGCAGCTCCGTGGGCCCAGAACCTGTCAGCGCGTGCAGCGCCGCATTTCCTGCCCACATCCCACAGCCATCATCATCCCCGCCCCACAGACCCAACTGGGGCCCTGCCCCGCACCCTACACCCCCCACCCCACGCACCCATCTGGGATCCACCCCGCATCCCAGTGGGGTTCAGTCCCACGTCCTGCAGCCATCAGCCATCCCCACCCCTCAGTATCCCCAGGTTTTGAGGTCCTCACCCAGCCAGAACTCCCTGGAGATGTTCCCGAAGCCGTGGACGTACTCCTCCCACCCCCTCCAGAAGTTGGTGCCCCCATCCATGCGGCGCTGGAACACCTTTGGGGGTGGGGGTGGGGTCAGAATCTCCCCCAGGCCCCACACTGCCCCCAGACCCCCCATTACCTCCCCCTAAACCCCCAACACTGCACCCTAAGACCCTTGTATTGCCCCCCAGGGCATCCTATTGCCTCTCCCAGATCCACCACAGCCCCAAATTTCTCCCTGGGTGGTGCTCCCCCATTTATAGTTCCAGGGGGTTACTGGGATCCCCATGGATAGTATAGGGGGTATGTGAGTCTCACAGAACACTGGGATCCCCCTGCAGTTTCCAGAATTACCCCAGTTGCCCCACAACATCCTCCCATTAACCTCCCCTCCCCTCCAGCCTCCCCCCACTCTCCCTGCATTGCTTCTCAACCCCCCCAGAACCTCCCCAGATGCCCCAAATGCCCCCAATTGCTCCACAGGACTCCTCTATTGCCAACCCAACCCCTATAATGGCAACCACCAGCCAGCCACCCAAACCCCATGACACCCATTGCCCATCAGACTCCTCATAGCCCCCCCCACTTCCTCCCCTTGCCCCCAGCCCCACCAGCCAGCCTCCCCCATCGCTCTCCATGTCGCAGAAGACGCGCAGTGGCCGTCGCTGGTCACCCCCGAGGAAGATGAGGACTTCTCGTGAAGGCCCTGGTCCATTGAGCTGCTCCTCAGCGCAGTCTCGGGGGTGTGGGTGAGGAAGGGGGGCTGGGGGACAAAGTGCAGTGTAGGTGCCCCCATCCACAGGACCCAACCAGTTGGGGGTCCCTGTTCACCTATCAAGGGACGAGGGCATCCTACTGACCCCCCACCTAAGGAGCCCCCCTATGTAGGGACCCATTATTCAGGCACTTGGGAATCCCAACCCCCCCCCCCACGCAAAGATGCAGATTTTCGGGTACCCCCCTCCATACTTCAGGACCCAGCATCCGTGTGTTCCCACCACCACAAAGCATCCAGATATTTGGGCACCCCAGAGTCTCCCACCCAAGTGCCCTGACACCTGGGTGCCCCCTCCCCCCCCAAGGGACCTCCTTTCCCAGCTCACGGGTATTGAAGGTGGTCTCGAGGGGCTCCAGCCCCCGGCCCCGGAGCTGCACCATATAGTGTCCAGTGGGCTCCAGGCCCCACAGGTCCTTGGATGTTGCCTCAGGGGGCAGCTGCAGTGTCTGGGGGGAGGACATGGGAAGGTTATTGGGCTGCTATGGGGGTCCCTAAAGGGCATTACAGGGGTGTTTAATGTCTCCAGGGAGCATAAAGAGGCCCATGAGGAGGATGGGAGTGCTGCAAAGGGAGTTATTGAGGACCTCAAGAGATAGTGGGGTGCAGTGGGGCTCTTAGGATGCTTGGGGGCTTTTGGGTTTCCCACGGTGGGAGAAGGGTCCCCAAGGAGGTTATGTGGGTCTCCAAAGGGGCACTGGGATCCCTGCGGGGAGATCTGGGTCTCCACAAGGAATACTGGGGTCTCCAAAGGGGTGAGTGGGGATCTCAGGGGTCTGGGGGGGGTTCCCAGAGGAACACTAGGGTCCTCAGAGATGCCATGCTGATCCCCAGGAGGAGTTCTAGGGTCACAAACAGGGTTGCAGGGAAGCCCTATGGGTTACTGGGTTCCCCCCATAGGCATATTGGGGTACCCCAGGAGATACTGAGGTCCCCTGGGAAGTTCAGGGAACGCTATGGGGCATTACCTTCATGGGGCCTCCGAGGGGTCTGTAGGTGAGGTTGTAGCCATCCGGAGGGACACGGGGAGGCGCCCAATGCAGCTGAGCACTGCGGGGCCACAGCGTGCCCACCCATAGCGTTCCTGGGGCACCTGGGAAAAGATGGAGGGCACTGAGGCCCACAGCCCTCCCTTGGATGTCCCACACTCTCCCTCCCACTAACTCCTTTTGGACCCCTCCCCAAAGGCCTCGAGAGCCCTGCTCACCGCTACAGCACCTGCTGACCACCAAGACACTCCCACCCCACTGCAGTGTCCCAGTGACCCCCACCCACAGGGGGCTTTGGGGTGCCATATAGATCTCCTATAACTTCCTAGGCACCACCCCCACAGGGACACCTCCCACCCGTGACGCCATCAACCATCCAGCTCTACATGAGTTTGAACACTGCTTTCAGCAGTAGGGCTTAATTCCTGCGTGAAGCCATGCCGGTCCTTTTCAACTCTGCTACAGTCTATATACTGAGGCCCGGAGTGTAGATCCCTCCAACACTCAACAGTGCATCCAACAGTCCTTCCAAACAACCATTTCTCCACAGAAACTCACATCCCTCCATCCAACCAGTTGCTACATGTTCACCCAACAAGCTCTTTTTATATTAAAAAAAATTAATTCATTCCATCGGTCATCCCCAAACAAACTACAACATGACATGAGCGATCCATCCATCCACCCTTCAAATAAAATCTCTCCAGAGCTCAGGAAAAGTTCCTATTGACACCAGTGCGCAAGTGGAACCTGGCAGGGCCCAGCTGACTCCAATTCCAGTGCACAGAGGCATTGAGGCAAGAGCCCAAAGCTCTTCATTCAAGTATCTGCACGTGCAACCAAGCGTCAATTACTCAAAGACCCACACTCCCATCTGAACAGGCATCACAAAATCCACTCCCCATCGGTCCCTTCGTAATTCAGTGCACTGATTAATGGAGCCATTCCAAAACAGGAACCAAACAGCTCATCCCATGGCCAGAGGAAATCAAGATCCCCAGCACAGGCCACATTTCACTTACCAACATCAGGAAACCCAGAGCCCACCAGGTGCCAATTCGTGCCCTCACCTGTGACGGCATCAGTGGAGATGGGGCCCAGCCGTTTCCGCCCCCACACCCCGTACAGGTTGAACTTGTAGCGGCGGGATGGCGACAGCCCGGGCACGCTCACCGAGCGCGACCCACCGTCCACGGG